GTTTTACAAGGAAAACCACTCCATGAGGAGTGAATCACTGAAATATAGTCATTAACTATTACAGTATATGTTGACACTATTTTCAAACTCTTGAAAACTTAATTTTTAGAAAAGTGTTTGCTTCTGTAAACAGAACCTGCATTGTGTAATAGCACACAGGCACTCCTCCTGTTAGTGTGAAAACATAACATGAATATTCTTTAAAATTAGCAACTCTAGGGTTATTTTTAAAAGCAATGCTTAATAGTTCTGGTATTTTAAATGCAGTCCACATAACTTGGATATTCTTCAAGTTCTGCATGAAAAATCACCTAAAAGGCTTTTAGATTATTTCGAGGCCTAGGAAAATATATGGTTGGACAATATATATTTTATTATGGTCTGAAGAAACGTTTCTATCAAAATAAAACTTCCTTAGAGGAGGTAAGATAGTAATTTCTCAAAATCGATGTAAATCAGACTCTCACAGGTGTATACTACAGACTTTTTGCAAGAAGAAAATGGCTTGGGACGTTATTTAATTATATATTTTTATTTTCATTTTTCTTCTGCAGGCTTTTCTTGTGCCCTGGTATTAGATAGGCGACACTACTGATTATCTGCAAATAAGATTAAAAATCATGCAAAACAATTCTTTTTCTCTTTGAAATCTAGTACTGTCAGGAACACAGTAGTGATGCTCTGATATAATTTCCAGAGGTACAAAAACTTAGCTGCTTTGTCTATAGCAACACTTACTATTTATAATGAATGAAGTTCAAGAAACTTCAGCTGAAGTGGCTTCTAGATATTCCAGAAGAGGGCTGTCATAGTTTGGGGGTTAGCTATATCTGAATCTTGCTGGTCACTGAGGCCCAAACCTCAGGTGAGATGACTTCTTTTCTGAGGTGAAATTGTGTGGTTCTCTGAATCTGTTGGGCCAGGGCTGCAGCTTCCTTAGCTCAATCGAGGTTACTTCAGTGACTCTGAAATGTCTGCAGCAATGAAGGTGGTATTCCTTCACAGACTGCTGCTAGAGCTCAGTGATGAAACTGGCATGGGTCTTCAAGTTTTATTTTGGAGCAAACAGATAGCAAGGTAATGGGTTTGCAGAGTTTATACAAAAGGAGGAAGAAGAGCTAAGACCATTAAATTTAAATGTGAAGTTGGAGTAAGTGTTTTTTTTTTTTTTTTTCTTGATGAGAATTATTTTGAATTTTGAGAAGGGTGAAATTTTAAATTCTGTCTGCCGTGCTTTTATCACTCTGTCTGCTGAGTCACCAATAGTGCAGTCTCGGCATGTATGAGTCAACTGTTTTGTCCTCCAGCATTTTTTCTTCCAAAACTACCATTTAGTATCCGTGAAGGAGAGTTTCATTGCTTAATGTGTAGTAACCTTACTTCACAGAGCAAGGAACCTATATATGTAAGACAAAAGTAGACTTAATGTGTGGAAACTCCAAATCTAGCGAAACTGGTGAAGGAGGAAATCACATGGATAAAACTTAGTCAGCTTTTTTTTTAAGTTTCAATTCTTATTTTTATTATTTGTGATGCAGCTTGTTTTTACTTTGCTCCCGTGATAGAGTACTATTAAAGCACAATAGTTTGGAAATAGAAAATAGGGATAGAGATATTAGCTGTTTTGGGTCTTGTCATGTAAGAATAGGATATGAGGTCAGTTAGTAGAGTATTCATATAATTGTTCTCAGCTCAACTTTGAAAGATCTTACCATGCTGTCTGCTCAGTGGACCAGGGAAAAGGGATTTAGTGGGTTTGGTTCGTTTTTTTAAACTATTATTTGGTATACTGTTACAAATGCTGCTTTTTTTTTTTTTTAAACTTTCCCAACCTTTACAAAAAAGGACAAAGTTTGAATGTGCCTAAAGACAGAAAAACTGTGCTCGTTGTTTTTTTGATATTGAAGACTTGTCAACCTTCGAGCGTGGGAAATTATAGCTACAATAACAGCACACAACCTATTATGTGAGTGAGTTAGAACTGGGAATATTACATTTGTCAGTCGAGTTCCAGTATGAGAAACTGTGGTTGGTTTCAAGTGTAGGGTTTTCACAGTTTTTCTATGTTTTCAGCATATTTACATTTGTTTTCTTTAATCTGCTTATGAATTATTTGGCAAAGACAACCAGTTAAAGATAGGGTAGAATGAGATATTACTTCTGCTGACTGGTAAGGCATTTCCTATTATATGTTTAGGTAAAAGCTTTCAACTCCTCTAAACTGTTTATGCTACTTCATTCTCTCCTAGTAAAGAAAAAAAACAAAACTCTTAGGCCCATCATTCAACTTTACCAAAAAATATCTTCTAAGACACAGAATTATCATAAATATTTTCAAACAAGATGTCAAACCTATTGTGGTTTCAGGAATAGAAAGGAATATTTGTGAAAAAGAACCATTTCAAGAGTAAAACTTGATCTCTGTGCAGCAATTAACCCTGTTGTACCTGTTAGCTTCACGCAATTAAACTTTTATTTCCCCCCACTTATCCTTTTTCTTATTCTAGTGTGCCTCCTGTGGCAGAGTGGGCTGTACCTCAGTCATCAAGACTGAAGTACAGACAGCTGTTCAATAGCCATGATAAAACAATGAGCGGACACTTAACAGGTATTGAAGCAGTTTTTATTGTCTTCTTTTTTAGACCTGTAAAAGAATTTAGAATGCTATTCAGATAGTAGGAGACTCTCTCTGTTGCCACTGTCAATGTTTTTCTGTTTGAATCTCACAACTGCTTCATGATCTTGTTTAGAAGCAAATATTCATCATAGCTGGGATCATTTTATCACCTTCTTTCCTTTATTTTCTGCAAAGTAAGTTGGCACTGGGAAATGATTTTTGGAAATGGTACAGTGGGTTATGTGAAAACTTGTGCAGCCATTTACAGCTCATCCACTGATGAGGGCGCCTGTCATTCCAGAAAGAAACTAGAATGGTACAATGACTTAGTTTCACTAGTTCTGGGAGCATCTCTTTGCCTTTTGTAGCTTTTTTTTTTTTTTTTAATCTGAGTGATTGTTGTAGAGAAGGGAAGGGTTATGTATTTTTTAGCGTTTTCCTTTGTGGGGAGCCTAGTTCATGCTAACGTCTCTTCAGTGATACCTATTCAGAACTAAGTTCTGCTTGTGCAGTAGCTACTTGGTAATGCAAGAAAAGGAGAAAGTTGCTTATTTGTTTGTTAATCCTTGTTTCGCTTTGTTAGGTCCACAAGCGAGAACTATTCTTATGCAGTCAAGTTTACCCCAGGCTCAACTGGCTACAATATGGTAAAAATAAATCTATCAATTTCCATCAAACTGGAAACTGTACTTAAACCTCTATTCTGTATACTGTGGGGTTTTTCTTCTTTTCAATCTCCTTCCACTGATAAATCATTATATGTTGCTCTTTTTAATGTATAATAAAACCTGCACTGCTATGCTTATACTAATATTACTTCACAAAAGTAAAAAAAAGCATCGTTTATCCTGTGCACATAGATGTTTCGTAGGTTGGGTTTCAATTATGGGGGTTTTGGGCAGACCAGATGTTCGGCCTCCTATATCTTCCACACTCTCTTCCATGTCCCCGGCCATATGTGATACAGCACCAGTGAAACTTATACATTTGTACAGGTAGTACAAAAGGAAGCTTAATCCAGAGCCATACTTTCTTTGAGGCTTGTCTGCCTTTTCTGTGACTTTCTAAGGGTTTATTTCCAAGGGGCTGGAGTTAACCTATGTTTAAAAAAATGGATTTTAAAAGGATTTGTCTCAGCTTCTCTTTTTTTTCTTTCAACTTCTTGTTTGCTGAAGTTTATTGTGTTCTTACTGTCACATAGAAAGTTCTTTGTAATTAACTTCTATACTTTATCAGTCTTTGCTTGAAAACCTTAGTGAACTCACTAACCCATCTGACTTCTGCGTGAAGATGTCAACTGTGTTGTCATTGTAATGTGGTGGTTCAATTGCACTTGCTTTCTTTGCTAAGTGCTGACTTTTTTGTAATATCTTAATAAGCACTCCCTCCTTCTCTGTTTCCTAACAAAGCTGTAAGGGAAAAAAAAAATCAACCCAACCAGCAGATGATTAACCAAAAAATAGTCTGCTTGTTGCCATCGTTTAAGTAGGTTGTGTGGGCAGGGGAATGATGTCAGCGTACTCCAGGAGTTCTAAACATAACTCTTTTAATCTTTGACATTCAAAACTGCCAAGTCTATTGAGATAAGGAATTGATTTTATAGCTTCTGTTGTCATAAGTATTGCTCCATTTCCTGAAACTTACTCTCTGGCAGTGGAACTGCTGTTGCTGTTCTCTGGGGCAAGATTTGTCACACTGTATTGGGACTGGATTCACTGACTCAGACACACAAAGTGGAGCACTGATATGCGGCCTGTCGGCTATGCTGTAGCACCTGGTTTGGTATTTCCGTAACAAAGATGTGGACCTAGACTGTCAGGATAGCTGATCAATTATATCTTTGCATGCTAGATTTTCATTCTGCTGGCTTGCTCTTGTGCCCCAGCCTGAGGAGTTCAAGAACAGAAGCATGGATCAAGTGAAGCTATAATTGTCTTCCAAATTTAAATCCCATAAACAGAGTCCCATACCTTGAGACATCCAAAGAAAGTGTCAGTTGCTTACCTTTTATTTTCACAGTATCAGGGGAGATTTCCTGCATGATTAGAGTGCAGCATGGTAGAGAAACAAAGCTGATGTTTAGGCTGTTAGATTTTGTCCAATACCACTTCAAGATGAGAAAAAAGCATTCTGTGCATCTGTTGGGGCACTGGTTTTAAGCCATCCAGAGACGTTACTCCATAATTTTTAACATGTGTATAATGCTAAAATGTTTTCATGCTTGTCAGGACTAGAATGTTAATAACTGATTTTAATGCAAATGTATGCTCTGGAATGTGAGATAGGAGCCTCCAGGGAAGAAGGAGACCAAACCAAAAAGTTCTACCAAACATCTGAGCTGATTCTTTTCTAAATGATACTGTGTAGTGGATATTCATAAGGTGTTTGAGAAACTTCATTGATTAATGTTACTTATATAGTATATGGTACAGGCAGTGCTTAAAGAGCAAGTGAAGTAGAAGCTGTGGCTATGAGGATAGTTTCAAGGCAGACATACATGAGAAATGTGAGAAATAGTGAAGCATTTGATTCGTGCTTTTTATTTGTTTTGAAGAAACAAAGTAGTGTGGAAAAAATAGTGAAAAATTGAGTTATTTTGGAACTGAATATGTTAAAACTATGCTTAACAGTGATTTTTTTACTATTTAAGAATTTACTTACTTTTTACTCTCCCTTTAAAAAGGAATCTTTCTGATATCGATCAAGATGGAAAACTTACAGCCGAAGAGTTTATTCTGGCTATGCACTTAATTGATGTAGCTATGTCTGGTCAGCCGCTGCCACCTGTACTGCCTCCAGAGTATATTCCACCTTCATTTAGGTAACTGGTTATAATTCTGGAATCTTGCTCCTAAATTTTTATTTCATTTGGGAAAGCTGTCCTGTGAGTGTAAAGTACAAGAGATTGAAAAGTAACCCTTCTGCTTTTTGTACTGCATCTATGGCACAGAGTGCCTTCTCGTTGGGAAATGCTTCTCTAGCTTTTTGGTTTTATTACAGGTACTGGGTGCTGGAAGTAGCAAGAATTCCTTGTAAGAATACAGTTTTGGTCAATATTTTGTGCTAGCATACCTTGAAAGACTTAGTCTGCCTATATGAATTTAAAGTCTACATGTTTACAGTTCAAGCTTATACTTCTGTAGAGCAGATGGAGTGTACTTGAATTCAAAGCATGCTATGAATTTACACTCAAGCAAATTCAGACATCTTTTGATGCAGTTGTACCTGTGAACAGTAGCGTGAGTCATTACTTCTCTTTCTCTGTTTCACTTTTTTGTGGAGAAATAGGTGGGAAGACAGTAACAGCAATGGAAAGAAGTGTTTGCATAGAATCATAGCTTCATGTTCTTTAAGTATCCTCCTGAAGATTACAGGGTTTTTTGTTTATTCCATGTGAGGTCTTGTTTTTAAGCTTGACTACAGTGTGGTCTTCCTCTGTCTTTGCAACTTTTGCTATAATTTTAAGTCACCTTTTCCCCAACTTCAGACTGGTCGCAAGTAAGAGATCATGGGGACAGTGTTGAACACATCTGTAAGTGGCATGGTGCTGTGAACTTTGAACTAGGTTTCTCAGGTCAGCAGTGTGTGCTGTTGGGACTCCGGAGGATGCTGTTATCTTAATGGCGATGGCTGGGTAAAATCCTCTGGACAACACTGAGGGAACATTAAATATCATTAAGCATTACATCATTGCATTTAATTTATGATTTCATCATTAAATCATTAATAAATTTGGCGGGCATACATTCTTTTAAGCAACTTGGAATTGTCATTTTATTGACAGAAGAGTACGCTCTGGTAGTGGCATATCTGCTGTAAGTTCAGGATCTGTAGACCAAAGGTTACCAGAAGAACCAGCGTTAGAAGAAGAACAGCAGCAACTGGAAAAGAAATTACCAGGTGAGCAAGCAAAAATATAGATGTATTGTGCGCTGTTATCAGAGAGGTGTATCCTTAGGTTATATGCTGTGGAGTTATAAAGGCTTATTAAGAAAAGTTTTCCTGCCAGTTCAGTTTGTGACATGTCAGAGGTGTAACCAAGACATTGCTTGGTCCAGCCGATTCTTGACCGTTGCATGATTCTTTGTGTTAGTGACAATGGAGATACAAACAACATTCAGGTTGCTTATGTACTCTCAACAGAGGCAGCACTTTGCAGCCCTATTACAGGACAGCAGTGAAAACTTTTTACTATCTCCATCTTCTGACTTAGGTGGAGTGTAGTTTGGCTTATGTACTCTTTAAAAGATCGCAATATACATACAGAGGCTTGTTTCACTGCAGGCTGTGTAACAATATGGTTTTTTATACAAGCTTTAGCAGCTCTGCTTTTGGGGAAATAAAAAAAGAAAAAGGGTAGAAAGCCTCCTAGATGCTAAATGGCTAAATGTTAGGAAATGTCTTAACATTTCTGATCATCCCCTCAATCTTCCTTGTACTTTCTTTACTTTTGCTCTATTTTATTCTAAGATGACCAGAATGTCACACAATTGAAGGTGTAGCAACATGACATATTTATACAATGCCATAATAACGCTTTTCTGTGTTGTTCAAAATTATTTTTCATTCTTTTAATGGATTCCTAACACTGTATTGTCTCTTTGATCCCAGCTTAGATCTGAGTTGATGTTTTAGAAGACTTTCCACAGTAATGCTGACATCCTACCACAAATCTATTACTATTTTAGAGCTCATAACTGCGTGTGTTTTGCTTGGGATTATTTTTATTCCCCATGTACACTACTCTATATTCATTAACGTTGGAACTTCCTCTGCTTCTTCATTATCAGATCACTCAGTTTTGTGAGATTCTTCTAAAGCTCTTCACAGTCAGGTTTTTATTTTCATACCGTAATTATCTGGCATCATTTCCAGAAGCTGTCTTGTTAATTTCTTACAGATCATTGTTGCACACTGAACAGCACAATTGCTAGTAGAAACCTTTGAAGGAGGCTACTGAGAGTCTTTTTGTCATTGTGAAAGTTGGTAATTTATTTCACCCCTTGATTCTAATCTCTTGACTGTTTGTTATTTCCCAAGGACATTCAGATACAACTTGGGTCTTTGGTTTGTATTTTGTAATTAATTGCTGCTAGCAGTCTGCTGGGTAATTCCTGGCTGTAGGAGGATGAAGGGAGATAAGCAGGGACTGCTGAAGCAGAGCTCACTGAGGTCTCACAATGAAACGTTTGGTCACAGGTGAGATATGACTCTCCTGTATTGGCTCTTTGAGGCCTAAGTCTTGTGCCTGTGGAATCAGAGGATTTTGGTATGCAGTTTGTAGTGTCAGGAAGGTCAGCCACTGCCTTGGCTTGGTTTCTTTGTTAGACTTTGCAATCACCCACGTTTTCTTTTGTTGACCTCATCTTCTTTTTCAGCTTGCTTATTGATACAATTGGGTCTATTAAACTTGAGAGGCAGCTCTTCCCTGCATTGCTTCTTCCATGGCGTCATGTTTAGTCATGTGTACTAACTAACGCTCTGTCTATTGTAGCCTTTGCTGCTTTGCCCAGCATGGGAGTAGACTGGCTTGTCTGTAGCTTTCAAGATCATTACACTGTCTTTTCTTAAAGACTAGTGTTGGACTTGTCATCTTCTAGTCTTACAGCACTGACGTTGATTAAAGGATGGATTGCGCAGCACAGCTAGTAGTTCATGAATTTTGTATTGAAACGATGGATTAGCTTTGTCTGGGTTTGGCAACTGTTACTCTTAATTTTTTGGTTTTATTTTTGTTTTAAAGCCATTTCTGCTTTCAGTTACAGAGGAACTAGAGTGTATAACCCTTTTACTGTATCTGATGTATAGATTTTCCATGGTAATAGTGAGTAGTCATCTAGCTTCTTCATTGGCTTTGCGAAATCTGGCTAGGTGTTGGGTTTGTTTTGTTTTGTTTTTTTCTTTTGAAACATGTGAAAGAGTTTTTATTGTTGGCTTTTATAACTTTTTAGAAGCTTTCCCTTAAGCATAGTAACGCAAGCCAATAGCTACTTATTTAATTTGCTAGAAGTTGTTCTAATTTTGTATTTTTGATATGCTTTGATTCATCACCTCTGGTAGCTACCTTGATTTTGCTGAGTAACCATACTAGATTGTTGGGCAACCATCTTAGAACCTGGTGTTTCTTCTTAGTGGTATGTGTGTTTTCTGAGCCTTGAACATGATATCTTGGCGTCAATGCTACTTGCAAGTGTTTTGCCCTTTACCTATTCCTTGTAACTGACTTTCTTGACATAAATATTTTTTCTTCTTCCTTTTTGCTTGGTTTCCTAAATCAGTGGGAGTTAGAATCACACTCTCTATCTATCAGTCTATATCTTAATATTCTTTGGACCCTGCGGCTAATTTTAAACAAACTTGACAAACATCAAAGTGGTTACATTTTTTAAGTTTTATGAAAATTAGTGATAGGCAATAGGAAAGGGGGCCAAACTTAGAAAAAAGACAAGAATTCAACTGGTTCATCAGATGTCAGGCCAATGTATCAAACAGTGCACGCACACTTTGAAGTAAATATGTTCTATCTCTTGGCTTAACTTGCATGCCAAGAATGTACAAGTTGGGTATGCTGGGAGAGAAATGTAGAATATGAGGTGTGGGAATGGGACACATAGGATGTGAAAAGAAACAGAAGGTGAAGTGGAAAGAATAATTTGGAGGAACTGTGAGGGAGGGGCCTAGGAATGTGGAACAGGGGAAGGACAATCCCTGATATTGCAGACTAATGTCAGGGAACTCGTGCTGGAACTGAGGTCATTCTTTTAGGACAGTAAGTGATGAGGATGCGAATCTGCAGGAATCCGATCTTCCTGAGTTCAGCTGCTCAAGAACTTATGCAAGCCATTTCTTTTTCTGACAGTAATGAGTAATCTTATGAGAATATCAAGTTTAAATACATTCTGGTCATTTACATAATGCCTTTTTGATAATATCATCAGCTGAATTCTTTGCCTTGTAGTAACTGAAGAGTTGGTTCTTGTGCTGCTACTGTTATCAAATGTATAGGGGAACTCCAGATCCTGTGTCCTCGCAGAGGATTAGCTAGTGAATGGTTTCTCTGAATTATACCCACTTGTTGGGCTTTGTGGAAAAACCTGGAAGCCTGAGGAATGGGAACTGAAATTCACACCTTGGTTTCCTAAGGATGTGGGTTTAAGGGGATCTACAATATAAATACTGATGATAACACCTAGAATTACCTGTAGAGTTGTATTATCAGTAGCTGAGAGCTGCATCTAGTACTGTTGGAAGGTCGTTTCACTTTGATTCAGCATATATGGATTTTTTTTGGTTAAGTCAGTAGAAGAGTTTAATTCTCCTTTACCCCATGTTTCCACACGTTAAGTTACATTTGAAGATAAAAAACGGGAGAACTTTGAACGTGGCAATCTAGAACTTGAAAAACGGAGGCAGGCTCTCCTGGAACAGCAACGCAAAGAACAAGAGCGTCTAGCACAGCTGGAACGGGCAGAGCAGGAAAGGAAAGAACGTGAGCGGCAGGAGCAAGAACGTAAAAGACAACTGGAGCTAGAGAAACAGTTGGAAAAACAGCGGGAATTGGAACGGCAGAGAGAAGAGGAAAGGAGGAAAGAAATAGAAAGAAGAGAGGTAACCAACTGGATAAAAGGAAGGTGGTTATGTTACTGGCAGCTGTGTTTGATTAGAACAAAATGTAACGTGTGCACTAAATATTTTGCAGTCATTTTTAGTAAGCAAACATTTAAAGAATGAACTTAAATTTTCTGGGTTTTTGAAGGTAAGGAAGGAGTTTGCCATCTCTTTTTTAATGTGAAATGAATGGATGAGACATTTAGGTCTAGGACAATGTGCTACTAACCTCTGACTTCCTTAAAAATTATAATAATTATTTTCTTTGATGTGAAGAGATGCTTGAGTGAACAAAAAAAAATGTGGACATTAATGGCGTTCAAGATTTTCCTGTGATGAGTTAATTTGTTAAAGAATACACATACTGGTTAACTTAAAAAGCTGTTATTTTCTGACATAGCCAAATAATGATGCACTCGGTGCAGTAGCTGCAGAATGTCTAGTGTTGGAGGTTAGAAAGAGATTTGGTACTATCATTGAGAGTTCTTGAAACCTTAATATGAAACAACTTATTAAATCAGAAGATTGCATCTTGGGAAACTGATTAAAATGGAGCAATATTCTGTATAGTCACTTATCTGCTATACAGTGAAGCCCCACTTTGCCAGTGCTTTCAAATGAGCATTTAAACAATTGAACAATTTGTGTGCTTAGAGGCACATATTTAGTCCACAGTTTAGCAGTGTGTTTATATTAATGTTTTAATTGCACGTTAGAATATGAGTATCAGCAGTTAGAATAGTTTCTCAAAATAGATCTTTCATACCTTTTTTTATTTTTAAATGCTACAGGCTGCAAAACGGGAACTTGAAAGGCAACGGCAACTTGAGTGGGAGCGTAATCGTCGTCAAGAACTACTAAATCAAAGAAACAAAGAACAAGAGGACATAGTTGTTCTGAAGGCAAAGAAGAAGACCTTAGAATTTGAGCTGGAAGCTCTAGTAAGTGCTCGCATTGCAGATGAAAGACACAAGCACTGTAGTGACTGTGATTGGCCATGTTTTTCTATAATATCAACTTTTAAATATGGAATAAAAGTATTTTTTACATCCTGGCTTGCATGACAAACCATTCTGGTAAAAAAAGAGGTATTTTTCTTTTTTCTTAAAGAATGATAAAAAAAATCAGTTGGAGGGAAAGCTTCAGGATATCAGATGTCGGCTGTCTACCCAAAGACAAGAAATTGAAAGTACAAATAAATCTAGAGAACTGAGAATTGCAGAAATCACCCATTTGCAACAGCAGCTACAGGTGAGAAAACATTCTCAAATTGTGTTCTTAGCCTTGCATTTTGATGACCTCAGCTACATCAATATCCTAAGCAAACTTGCTGCAATATGTGATGTGTTGTTTCTTGTACAAAAAGGAATTGTTGTAGATAACTGTCGTTCTTTTAAATGCATGTTCTTCAGTCATGTTTGGTAATTGCTTTCTACACTTGGAGGTGTGTCTGTGAGTATCACTTTGTCCTTATGGAATCCTGTTGTGGGGAGCAGTAAATAAATTGTTTGACTGAAGATATTAAAGGGTTTGGGGGGATGAGAGAATGAAATTTGACAGCATGTAGTTTTGTTGGCAGCTGTTTGTGTGCTGAAAGAAAGAATCGACTTCAGTGAAGTGACTTGATGCTTTTTTTAAATTTTTAATTATAAAATAATGACCTTTCAAAGTTGTTATTGCCAGTTAAACCAGTTAGTTCTTGGTCTAACCCTGGCATTCGTCTTTCCTACTTCTCTACCTAAAATTCTCTGTTAGACTAAAGATGGAGTTGAGTAGATGTCTGCTTTTAGTGAAAGAGTGTTATCTGCAATTTGTAAAGATTTCTAGATGAGTTGTAGTATTTGATTTAGGGATTTTTCTCTTTATTAAATATTCTATATTGCTTGAAATTAATTCTTGGCCAGTAATGGGGGCTCTCAGTGCTTTTCTGACACAACAAAGAGAATCTCACACTTATGTTATGAGGGTTTAAAACCTAACCCTACCATTCTATTTCAGCTTTCTAAGCATAATTAGTATAGTACATTCATTTGGACAAAACCAGAACTTGAAAGTTCATGGGTTTTGTTTTGCGTATGGGTGTGGTTTTGACTTTTTTTTTCCTTCGTTCTTAAAACATCTTACATTTCTGTTGAAGTTTTGTGTACACCATTACACCTTTCAGAAGGCATCTTTCTTTTGGCAGCAAGTTGTTATAAAGAGTAGAATTTAGGGAACATATTCTTGCACAGTGTTTGTGTCCACTTGATGCAAACAAGGAATGCTACTAAGGGACGCTTGTGACATAAAGAACTGCCATGGTTAGGCTTGAAACCTCTCTTCTCTCTTTAATGAAATGCTCCTGGCAACTGAAAATGAAGTCAAACATCACTGAGTCAAGTGCAGGAAATTAAGTTACACTTGGCAGTACTGACTCAAAGAGACAAAAAACTGATTATGCTTGATAAAATGTGTGGAAAATGCCCCCGTTTACCTGAATAAGTTAAAGACTACTGATCTTATGTGCACAGACAGTCTCCATGTAAAAGCGATAACCACCTGAATTTCCCTCTAACCCTTCTATTCCAAAAGCTTTCCACAGAAATGGTCTAAGGTACTGTAACTCACTTCAGAAGCAGCTGAGCAGCTACATAGCCTTTGATAAATAAATGCTAATTTAACAAATGTAATGGAATTCGTATCCTACTTTCATGTGTTATTTCTGTTAACTTGTCAATTTTTGTTCAGTTGGCCTCTGTAGTCAGAAAAGATAAAGTATCTCTTTGCTTTTGTCATAATACAACAAATTAAGAAGGAAAAAATGATGTGTTACAGTAAAAGCTGTAAGTCATTTATGTTATAGTAAAGACCAATGTACCACACTTGGGATAGGTCCCATTATAACAGACTTCGTAAAAAACCCGTGAGAAAGTATCATTATTATCAAGAACTTGGAATGAGCTTCCACAGCTGAATATAGTAAACGGAAGGTGTGGGTGAAGAAAAAAATGTGGAACCGACACTGTTGGGAAGCAAGTAGTGAGAAAGATAATCTATCTACAAGTAGATGTGGTTAAGTAGCTTATTAAAAAGTACTAGATAAACAAGGGGCAGTGTTCTCTGTAGACTCATTAACATTTTTTAAAAAAATTTTTAATCATATTGTTTTCTGAGCATAGATAGGCTTTTTCCTTACCTACAGCTTTTATGCATTGGTTTTAACTGCATCACCATGAAAGGAAAAGTTAAGGAGGGCAGGGGGATTCTTCACCTGCCTAACATTTAGTTTGTGCTACTTATTACCCAATCACAATGTTCAAAAAGCAGATCGCTGCTTTTTTCTTTTTTTTCTCTTCAGCATTTTGACACCACTCTGAAATTTTATTGAAACATCTGGCAAAATCCAATGACTTCTGCATGGTTGTCTACTTTTTGGTCTTGTTTTGGAATCACTGCTGTATTTGTAGTGATTTTTAACCATCTCTGGTCATTGTAATTGGTACTTGATGGTATGTATCCAGCAGCTTAGTTAATGCCCGTTCACTTTCTAAATTGCTTCATTCATAATGACTGTAAGGGCACTTCTGTAATGAAAGTCACACTTGTCTTTCTTGGCAGGTTTTTTTTTGATTTTTGATTTTGAGGTTTTCTTTTTTTAGGTTGACAGCAATAGCTGTGGCTTTGTGGTATTGTCTTCTCTCAGGTTATCACTGATCTTGACCACTAATATTTCAGTTAGCGTTGCTTGAGGGGTTTGTCACAATTGTGAGCCCAGAAAGAAGTGCCACTACTTAGTAGAAAAGGCCAAATTTTATGTGGGGAGAACCTAAAAGAGGGGATGGCTATTTCCTGAAAAAAAGGTGAGTTTCTCAAACACCCTGTAAATTTTACTATCTAATGTGTAGAGGAAAGACTAAAGCAGTAAGTGACTTTTTTAAAAGAAGACTTTGATTCTCTAAACTCTCCAATAGATTAAAAAGTCGATATTGTCAGTTATCTTTGTAGGACGATATGACTTCACTTGCAAACAGTTTAATACTTCTGCCACTTGCTATGGAAAGATGAGTTAATTAAAAAGAGTAATTATTCTTCAACCTATTAGTTTCAGGATGGAGTTTGATTAAACTTGTGGAAGAAATTGTGTAACAATTAATCCTGGGTGATGAAAATTTGTGCTATTTATATGAATCTGTGGTATCTGGTAGAGTGGTATTTCCAGGGATGTTTGGAAGGATCCAGCCTTTCAGACACCATAACTGTATATGTTTGAATCATGTTTATACTGTCTGCAGGGCTTCTGCTAGTTACCTGCAGGGATTATTTGCCTCCTTGATGAACACTTTGGCTCCCAAGTAATTTGGCTTTCCTCTGAAGCACTGGAAGCAGGGTATGTGCAGAGACTTAAGATATATAGTGGTATCTCAGTTTCTCATACGCCCTCTTGCTCGGGGCGTAGGATCAGAAGAGAACTTCCCCTCATCAGATTGACAGGAACTGGGTTTTAATTTCTTTCTTTGCCTTCTACTGCTCTATGGGACATTGTTCAATTCTTTGAAATTTCTTGTTGCATGAAACTTCGGTGTTAGTGATACCATTAATTTCTTTCATCTGTTTCTTCAGTACAACTAAAGGATATGGAAAAGCATGTTGGGGATGCTCTTGGAACAGATGCTTATTACATCGTTGTGGGTGATTTCAGGAAACAGATCTTAACCCTCATAATCCCTTGGCATGCTCTGTCCTTAAATACTCTCCAAACTATTCTGTGTATTACAATTGAGTTGTCTGGAGTTTAGAAGTATTCTGGCCTTTAAAAATGAGCAACAAAGGTTAGGATTACATTCCACCCTGAAATACCATCCTATGTTACTTTTTGTGCTTGAGGAATGGTAATTTTTCTGTAAATCCTGTTTCATTTTGACATCGGTTCTGCTATTTGGCTTACCTAAGTGGTTCTTGAATTGGATGATACAATTTTGATACCCTTGTGTCTTGAAAGGTGATTTCCTTTCCCCTTCCTCTTGAGGTTTATCCATCAATACATTTAGTCTACTCGATGCCACCTTTCTTGGATTGTATTACTTGAAAACTTCATATCCATGATGCCTGTGTGCTCTACTAATTTAATAATACTGTTTAAATTTTGCATCCCAAATTACGGCATGGGGCATGCAGGTATTTGGGTGGGAGGGTGTGGTGGAAGGGAAAGCATGAACACAAAGGACAGTGCTTTGCGTGTAGTTTAAGAACATGGTAATGGTGGTGGTTGGGAAGGAGGCAGGCTCCCCTCGGGCAGATGATTTGGAAAATGCTGCATTATATATTGCTGTTTCTCATTTGGTTCCAGGTAGGGAATAATAGTCTCATGATAGGAGTATCTGGCCTTCATGACAACCTTGAAGGACTGAAAAAGATCTGCTGAATGCTGTAGGCAGTGCAGCTGAACAGTGAGGGGTGCATGTAGCTCCTAATAGTCAAGTGCATAGTTTATCTTAATTTTGATACTTTATGAATTTATGATGTCCTTGACTCTGCTGTGCTATCTAAGTATGCTTTCTGGAACACAAAGAGAGTACAGTACACTGCAGTCATTGCATAATCGTAAGATCTGAGCTGTACGCTGCAGAGGCCCAATCAAAGACTGCCGTGATAAAATGGGACAACTACGAAGCCATGTCAGTACGGTCAGCCTTGTGTTCTTGTAACAAAACTAAAACTTTTCATGGGACTCAGTCTGGTATTAAGCGATTAGGTGACATTTGTTCTTAGGATCATATTATGTCATTTGCAATCCTTCATGACAAATTGAAATTGTCAGATGGTTGATTGCACAAAAGCCTGCAATTCAAGACAACTGCTAAAATAAGTTACTTAGTTTGTCTGAAGGATGGGATGTTGACACCCGGGCAGCTTTTATAAAATAAACTGTTTCACCTCAAGCTTCTATAATACGTTTTGACAACTTGAAGTTGGAGGTCAAGGCTTCTGAAAGGTGTATAATGTAGCGCTTCATCCTCCAGAAAGAGCAAGGATTATATATGGTGTGTATATATGATCCACTGAAGAAGGAATTTCTCATCTGCAGGGTCTCCTGTAATATATCAGTGTACAGTCTTACGACCGTGTGTTGAAATTGAGAGAGATCATAATCCTCTTTCGAGAGTGCTAAATTGAGAGATCTAGGACTCACGTATTCTCGTCTAACAGAGCTTGTGTTGCATAGGTTTTGGCCATAATATATTTAAAGTGAAAGCCTTTATTTTCTCTTATTTAAATAAACTGTAAATATTTGTCTTTCTATTCCTGATCAAAGTTAATATAAATGTATTTATATGAGAATAAAGTGGTCATGCTAGTTTTAACATTCTCTGAAATCTATCCTTGTCTTTCTGCCCTGAATTTCAAGTAATTCCAAGCCAAGTTACATATTCAATGAGAATCAATTCTCAAGTAATATACTTAAATTTCATATGCTCACTTTTTTGTATTGGCAGAGAACTATGTCTGAGTGCTAATACCACACAGACAGTACTTGGAGAATGGCAATAATAGATAACTTAATGAGAGAAAAAGTCACGAGTCATTTCAGGAGAAATGGGAGGTCTTATGGCTAAAGTAATCCCTCACCTTTTGGTGTGTTTCTCTTCTTGTTTTCTCTCTCCTTGTTGTCCTCTCTTCAGGAATCTCAGCAGATGCTTGGAAGGTTGATTCCAGAAAAGCAATTGCTTAATGATCAGCTAAAGCAGGTTCAACAGAACAGTTTGCACAGTAAGTATATTTTTGTACGTGTCTGTTTGTATAGGACATGGTGCTGCATTGCACAGTGTATTCTGTAGTTTCTGGTTTTGTGTTGCAAGATGCATGTTGAAAAATGTTGCTTTCTATGAACAAAAATTCTCTGTGTAAGAAAATACGTATTTAACAATATATTTTAAAACAGGAGATTCACTTCTTACTATCAAAAGAGCCTTAGAAGCCAAGGAACTAGCACGTCAACAGCTTCGAGACCAGCTAGATGAAGTAGAAAAAGAAACCAGATCTAAACTTCAGGAAATTGATATTTTCAATAATCAACTGAAGGTAATCCTAGACTTTTTAATCCTTTCTTCTAAATGTTCAGTTAATTATTTTCGAACTCGATTATGGAAAAAAATATTGAATTAGAACAATTGATTTAGAATGTCAGGTATGGGCATGTTCTCAAATTTTTATTTTTATTTTTTTTTTAAAGAAAATACTACTTAGCATCCAAACTCAGAGTTTGAATCCACTTAAATCTACAGAATCTATTTAAGAATAAATTTGAGCTCTGATTCCAGATCTGTGATTGCAAATATGAAGTTGCCAGTTTCTGCCTTTTAAGAAGGGGAAGACTGTAGTAGGTCAACAGCTCTTCTGGAATCGGTACTTCAAATTGAATTCTTTGTTAGAGAGACTTGATTTTCTACTGACACACAGAATTTTTATCTGCTGTTTGTAAGCTCATACTTGTTCCTGAATGTAGTTGTTTGTTGTTTGTGGTTTCATGCTTTATTGATGAGTCTTTTGTTAAAACTGTGTGATTTTTGTTTATTTCTGCACAAGAAAATGACAGAAACTGCAGAAGTCAGTAGAGGGGGTGTTCTTCAGAGAGAAGTTATAAATCAGTTTTTAGTTAAAAACTTTTAGTAGCGTTCATTTTTTCATAAAATATTCTAATGTTAAAGTACTTTATCTGCTAATTCAACTGATGGTTTCTCCTAAAAGCTGACTAGAAAAATACTCAATTTCCTGCAAGGTATAAGAAATTGTGCTACAATTATTTAGAAGGAAAAGCACAATGATAGATACATTAGTGTTTCTGTAGTTGTTTTGAAATTAGGTCAACTATGATTACATCATATGCTTTAGGATGGAAGGCATGTTTGAAGTAAGCCACAAATAGCTTGTTTTAATATTAAAGTTATTAATAACTATAGGAAAAATTAAAAGCTGTAGACCATACCACTACCTGTTTCAATGCCAATTCAAAAATGACTCTCATGATCTTAGGCAGGGAGATAGAATGGGGAGAACCTCTGCAGAGTCATATGAGACACAAGACAAACAAAACGTGCACAATTTGTTTTAGAAGAAAACAGAACTGTTTACCTCACAATTTTTTCTATATGCTTTTTGGACACATCTTAACATGTTGTGCTTTTTTTTTTTTTAAGCGGAGTCCTTTTGAAGTGTTTTGCAGATAAATATGACCAAAGGATATCAGTTCTGAAATTAGTGTCAGCATTTGGTTTGATCGTAAATGACCTAAACATTTTATAAATGGACAGATGGGTGAATAATCTTAGTACTGTGACAGCAGCAAAAAAACCCTCCCAAAACAAATAAACAAAATTCAATATTTTAAATATTGAAGGGCTCAACAATTAACAAGGTAATGATAATTAAAAAATGAATATGCACATTAAACAAAGACATGGATTTATCAGAATGTCTGCCATCTATGCAAGAATACCTTGACTAATTGTAAACTGTTTTGCAGCTTAATGGGAGAATTGATTTCTGTGTTCAAATCTTAGTATTTAGAGTTATCACTTTTAAAAACTGAAAATTAATTATGTAGGCAGTTCTTTGGGAAGACTTCAGCAAGCTTCCTCTGGCTTGAGGATATTGTGTACTTAATTTCATAATGTGTAGAAGTACTGCTTAATAGGAAGACCACTTTTTGATGTTGTAGGTTCGTATTTGTGCCTTGCTGCAGCTTTCTTTGCTTTCTTGGAAGAAATGAGTTTAAGAGGGGCAGTTGTACTTTTGAAGCTGAGAGGTGGGAGCTTAGTTCAGAGTAAGTTATATCGTCTCCCTTTGTAGTTTTACTAGATGTGTGAGATATATTTTGGACTGCCTGGATGATTTAAATGTCTACAAAGGCATATATACCTTTTTGTAGACTCAGCATGGAATGGCTGTAGTACTCCCAGTGCCAGGGAAACTGCTTAGTGTGTGCAGCAGTGACTTAATGGGTCTTGTGGGGAGAGCTCTCACAATGCCTTGCATATGAAACTTTATGCACAAAGCTACTGAAAGCTTTCCTGAGACTCAGCTTTATTAGGGTTTGTGTGGAGTGGAAGTTTCTGTTCTTAAACCAAGGCAGCACACACCTATTTCTCAGGTAATAATATTGCTCAAAACAAAGTAGTCTAGGAACTTGCGTAGTTCTCAGATACTCTTACCTAAACCATCAAAAATTTGTGACAACTTGTAGGAACTGCCACTGGAAAGATGACCGTTACATTTAAAATAAGTAGAAAATGGCTTATAAATAATAGCCAAATTAATAGCTTCCCCAATTAACAGAAGAACTTTTTGTTTACTTATTAGTAACAGGATGCATAAATACAGCAGGCTCGTTTGGTGCTACAGTACCTTGCAATTACTATAATTATCGGTCAACTGTATCAACACTCACATTTAAATGTAAAACCTTTTCAAATAATGTATCAAAAATTCCACCACATCTGAGCTCTTAGTATAATAAAGCCTTCTTATCTTATCTTACATATCTAAGGGAAGATATGTAAAGATGGGAAATACAGAAAAGTTTATTTTTAAAATGTACTTTTATTAAATAAATAAATTTAAAACTCCATTTTTAATCAAGACTTTCTAAATTATCTTGCAGGTTTAAAACTGATAGACTTTTTTTATGATGATCCGCTCTTACTTTGTGCTTCAGTGTTCTAACTGAGAGATGCACATTTGATGGGATGGCTGTTAGGACGGCAGCACCATAATTGACACTGTCTTGTGCAGCTTTTGCTCTCTGACGAGTGATGGAGAGGCACTGGTGCTTGCCTTGTCTTCTATAATACAAGTAACCTCTGGACAAGACACAGGATGATGTCCTACTGTTTGTGAACTCCCAGGAAAAAAAAGCGTGCCTAAATTCTCTTTAGGTATATACCATCTTACAGCACTTTGTACTTATTTCCTACAGGGAGAGGGAGTAATACATGTCTTTACTTAGTCAAAATGCTTAATTTAATAGGAAACAGAACCAAAATTGTAAATATGTACACTGCTGCTCTCTGAGAACAAGGTGTTTGCCAAACTAGTTTTGATGAAATGCTTAAGAGACAGTGAAATTGACAGCAACATTGAATTATAACTTTGTCATCATTGTTGAGATTTATTCCTTATTGGCTATGAATATTGGTTGCATCATGTCCTATGTGAATATATCCTTAAATTTTGCAAAACTCCATTTCTGATTAATTTTTTTGAAATAGGCTACACTTGATCTACTGATAGGAAGTACAGAAATATGTCACAAAAGTACAAGATAAAATAAGCAATTTAAATAGTATCTAGCGTGCCTTTTCATTGATTAGACTATAAGGTTTACCTGATATTCCACTATATTTTAGGTTATGGGTCAACTTGTTAACACCATAATAGTTGGATTGCACTGCATTTGCCTCCATATTATAGGTTTTATGTTCTGCAGTAAGTGAATTCTTAAAACAAGTGTTAAAATACCTCATCTTAGCTTCGTGTCTTAATAGCATATATGAGTGACTAGGGAGAGAAATTAAACATTTTTTTCCACTGGATCTTTTGTCATCTGTCCAAAACAACTGATTTAAATTTCTTCTGATTAGTCCTTTGGAGCTCAAGTACTTCAATTGTATTTCAAGTCAACATCTCAAGAGTTAGAAATCTTCATAGAATTTGGTTCCTTTTCAAAAAACTTTCTGGAGTATGAAATGTATTAATATTTCAAAACAGGCAGTTTCAAGTATCTTTACTGAATATCTTTACTTAGAACCACATGGTTTCAGGAAACTGTTTGGCAGAGAAATAAGTACCTTAGCCTGCAGCTGGTCAGATATCCTTTTAAATCAGTTTAGAGGCATTTTGTTAGAGAAGGTGATAGTCTTGTGGATTGTGCTGTATTTGGCTATAGAGCAAGTGACTGACTTTGTAACAAGGTTGAAAGTTGGGCCGTTGATTTGTCCCCATAATTTTTTGTCCTCTGAATTATGGTTGAAGGAGTCTAACCTCCATTACTCTTTAAAAATTTTATTCTAGAAATCTAATAATTAAAATTGATAGAGATATTAGGAAATTGTAACTAGGCACTTGTTTATTTTTTTTGCTTTATAAAATAATTCTGCAGAATAGCAGGCTGTATATTAGGTTTCCTGTTTGTATATGTATAGTCCTGCTATAATTTACAAATTCTTTCTACTTTCAGTGTGAATTTGCATTTAAGTTTAAATGTTACAAAGGTCAGTCATTACACACTGTCAAATAAAGCAATAATAATTCTTAATATGGTGGTTGTCTCCAAAGACGAAATAATCATTTCATATGGCATAAAAGAATCAACTATTTAGAGCTTACCTCTGTTATTGCACAGGAGAAGACAACCAATAAATTAGTGTTTCTGAACTACATTAGTCTTGCTGAGAAGCTAATCTCAGTGCATGGAAAAAGTGGTGAACAAGCAGAATCAAGTTCTTAAAAATGTTTTTACATTTTGTGTCATGTTCCAGTTGTTGTCAGTCCCTGTCTAGTCAGTGTGCACTGGACAAGTCTTGCATATGAATGCCTGTTTACATTTGAGCATTTCTTTCTTCCAGTCAGTGGCAATGGAAGATGCAATGCTGCAGTGCCTGGCAGTTCTCCTGGGCTGCGTCAACTACTTAGACTCCTTTCTAAAGGTCTCCATGCCATACTCAGGCAGTACACAACTCTCAATCTGAGTGATGAACCTCCTCCAGTTATGTGCTTCACTTTACCATAAACAGATGAGTGTGCAGTGTTTAACTAAGTTAGTATTTAATAAGAGGTGCTAGCACTAAAACGTAACCGAAGAGAAGAGTTTATAATTGGATTCTTTATCTAATCCTTACTGCCGAGCTGAGGAGCGTGCCTTGAATTGCAACTTGGGCAACGTACTAGTTAGTTACTTTTGTCTTCTGCTTATCTGAAACTTCAAGATTCTATGTAAATTGCCTATTTTGGTCATGATGTTCAGAATTTTTAAAAAGAAAACACTTTTATCTTAAGTATTCCTACATAGCACTGTAATTTGTGAT